ACACATATGACACACACCACTTTAGCACATGCACACAGGTACAAACACACGTAGGCACAAACACAAACACGAATGTGTTCACATTTACAGACCCTCCAGTCAAGGAATATACACTCTAGGAAATATATGCACATACACATGCTAGCAATCACACACCCCATTTAGACACACCCACTCTATCAGACACACAAAACACCCAGATACACCACCTACACACTCTCCAGATAAATCCATACTCACATACAGATACAGTCACATTTTCAGACACATTCCCCACCCAAATATACCCACTCTCACACACGCTACCCACATATACCCACATGCATCTTCCCATCAAGATACACTCACACTTACATATCCCACACAAATTCACCTGTACGCTCTCTCACATACCACCCAGATACACCCGAGCGCTCTCCTTTATATAATTCAGAGAGAATCCACATATTCTTCTTAGATATACTCACATTCACATACCACAACCTAGATAGGCACATTTTCTTTCTCACACATACCATTCATATACACCCACTTTTGTACTTATGGGTATATAGCTGCCCTCTCTCACACACATCCCATTTAAAGATACACATCCTCATATACACACTTCAAATCCAGTCACAGACACAGCCACACTTATGCAAACTCCCAACCCAGTATACCTGCGCAAAGCCAGAACCCTCACACCCAACTCAAGCACACCTACAGTCTCTCTCACACATCAAGACCACATACTATTCAAAGACACTGTACTTACACACACCTCACACAATACACTCACAAATTCCTAACCCCGATACATACATACACAGATACCCACCTACACAGACACCCACTCATACACAGATTTTATCTATATACACCCACAATTTCTCATATTCTCTATCTCAATTTTTGTTTCTACCACAAACACCATCCCACTCACAGAGCCCCACCCAGATACATCCACCTCCTATACATAAGACACCATCCAGAATGGATCACCAAGACCACTGAGACGCATTCAAACCTATACATATCAGCTAGGTAACTCTACTACCATTGAGATACATATCTTCATTCACACATATGTCTAACACAAGCCATCACACAAACTCCTTCCCACACATCCCACTGTCCAGATAAATCTATGCTCTCATCCCTTCCACAACACCCAGATGAACCCACACTCCAAACACACTCAGATATGTCCCTACAAATGCTCTCCTTTAAACACTCCATCCAGTTATAAACAGACACACATACCCAAGTATTACACACCCAGATACACAGCCAAAGCTCTCACAGCATACCATCTAGATATAACTTACTATACACCACCACTAAAATACATCCACACTGTCACCTACTCACCACCAGATACACCCACATTCAAATATACGCCACCAAAATACACCCACATATTGTCTCACACAGCTCAGATGTATCCCCCTACTATCTCACACACCATCCAGATACATCCACATCTCACATGCACTCACCATCCAGATACACCCACTCACATTCCCAATACACTCATACTCACTCCCTGACCTGGTCAAAATCAAACTCTTACACTTTATCCAGATACACCTACACTCTCCTCCCACCAGATACATCTATGTCATCACACCCCCACCATGCTTAGAAGCACCTCTACTCTCTCCTAAACATACACAATCCAGTTTCCTCCCTCTCTTAATCGTCATTATCCAGAATAACCACCCCCACCCCCACAATGCAGACACACCCATATTCTCTAACACACACACATATCTTACCCACATATGCCCTCATACCATCCAAAGTTACCTCCCAATTACATACATACTCTCATACACCCCATCCCTCACCTAGATGTGTTCAGAGGCTCTTTCTTAAACACAGACAATCAAATATATTGCATCACACATTTCCATTGCCCGGATACACCTGTGCCCTCCCCCATCCACACACCACCCAAATATACCCATTTGAATGTCCCTAATACACCCATACTCCCTCATAACACTCTGCCCAGAAATACCTGCTCTCTTTTATATTGTTACTCTCAAACATAAACAAACAATACAAATACAACTACACTATCAAACACATACACTATCCAAATACCCCCTCACTCTTTTCACACATCCATACAGACCATACTCACATACCCTCAAATATATACATCCTCACACATATTTCCACTCAGATATACCCAAACTCTCCTATCATCCTCCATCCCAAAAGGCCAATGCTTTCACAGTGCCTCACAAACACACTATTTAACATACACCCACATTCACACTCACTCACCCCTCCCAAATACACCCAAATGTCTCACATACACATCCTACCCAGAAACACCCAGACTCCTACATACATAACTCAGATCCCTTTTATCCTCTTCCTCCTCATGCTCCCTACCTCCCTCTGCCTCTCCTTCCTTTCTTCTTCCCTCTCTTCCATTCTCTCTCTCACCAAATATACTACCCCTCCATACACATATGCCATTCTACCCACATACACTTTCATTTATACATACACATTCACATCTAGATTTCTGCCTGGATGGCGCACTTTGAGCACTCTCTATAAAAACCATTTACTAACCCTGGACACCATATTATGCCACTCTCTCCAGAGTCTTTGATGGTGGAGGAATGAGAAGGGAGGTCTTTGTATTTCAAGAAACCTTTTTCTGCAGAGGTCATAGGCCTATTCCCTAGTAGAGTATCAGCTATAATTGGTTCCCACAGCCTGAGTATGAATGATGGTAAAAATTATCCTGAGACTCCCACAAAAGCCCAGAGACATCCAGGGATAGGCAACTCTATATCACACCCAATGACACAATGAACAAATGCTGAGATGAGTTCCCAAATGTACACACACACACACACACACACACACACACAGACACGATCACATCAGCATATTCACACATACTCACATATGGGCACACTCATACATGTCAATACTCAGCTATGTACATGCTTATCAATGAGATGATGTATTCATATACAGACATTCTAACACACACACGGACTTATACACACAACTGGGCATATACAAACATGAGCATATTCAGATGTACGCAGACTTCTATGTGTACACAAGCAGACAAAGAAACACAAATGTACTTACAAAACACACAACCACAATCAGATATGCACACAATTTATGTTCATCCATACACCCGCATGAGAAGTTCTGAAAACAAAAGAAGCTTCATTTATACCTACATGCCCAGACCGACTTGGACACAAGGTTCACACATGCACACATGAAAGATAATCACATATTCTCACACTCTTGCACATATGTACAAGAATTGATCACACTCAGCACAGATACACACATGCAAAGAGATCCTCAAACACACTTATAGTCCAAAAGCAGCAAACACATATGTTCGCTTGCACAGTTCTACAACGTACATTCCAAAACAAACAATGGCATATAAATACAAATGGATATATACAAATAATTAGAATGGTATAAACGGTTCATTCACCTGTACATTCAAACAGGTGCACACACATGCATGCATATTAACACAAACCCTTAGATGTCTGTAAACACACAGGTAAATATACATACTGTTCACTAAAATGCACACACAACCAGATGTTAACAATTAGCATATATATACACATATATTTACAGACCTAGCCATACTCACACATTCAGAAATCCACACAAAACACATGAGACCTGCGCAACCAAGTATTACAAAATGTAACTACTCATGCACCCCACAATCAGACATGCACTCACACATAAAAGTATGCTACAAAGACAGACACATACACAAGTGCATCCATTCACCTATGCACACAGCCTTTGATACATATATATACAGGCACACACCACCCACATTCACACCTATATACAAATAAAATATGCACACACAGATATACCCAAAAAATACATTTTCATACTTAAAACATGTATTTCATATACTCCCCTACCTACTTAGTTCTCTTTATACTACTGTCACCATTTATATTAATATTTGGCTAATCAGATGTGGACTTATAGGTCTGTCTACAGACAATATATACCCAAACATGCACACACAGACATATACATAATTGAAAATGTTGGAAAATCCAAATGGACTTTCACACACAGGTCTACTCATACATCTACAAGTCAGACACACCCCCACAGAAGCATATTCACACATACACTCCCATGCATGCACGGACACACACATACATGCCTTTACAAACACAACAGTTAGATGTACTTACACTCATGTGCACATATGGGCACACAAAAAATGTATACAACCAGATACAATTAAGCATTCACTAATTGGACAGGCATACCCACACATTCTCAAACCTTCACTCTCATACATGTGCATTCAGACACGTATACCCAAAGACAAATGATTCCAGACATTCAACAGGCCTCTTTGGCTCAAAGAAACACACCCTCACTCAGGCTCGGAATCAAACATGTCCATTTGCTCACCCAGACAGACGTGCAAAGTCATACCCACTCCTCTGTACACACACAAGCCTACCTAGACACCCACACACTTGCATTCACTGTCATGTGGTCTGCTCACAATCAGATTCATACAAAATAACAGTACTCATGAACAGACACACACAAACACAATTCATACATAGCCACATGTTTCCAGTTGCATGTATATACCCACACTCAGGCCCACCTACCTCAGGACCATAGGCTGGGTCCTGTCTCGCACCAAATCAGAAAAGTCTACTCTGGACCCAAAACCCCACCCTTCCCTGCTCCCACAGAGAGGGTCTTCTAGACCTCAGTCTTTCTCCTTTTCCTGCTCCTCCCCTTCTCCAGCCACTCACCATTCTCTCAGTGTTCCACCCTATCTCTACACTTGGAAGCCAGCCAGCAGGCCCCACTCTTCCCCTACCCTAGGCACTAGGATAGGAATCCCCCAAGTCTCATCCCCCACAGATCTGGCTGCTGCATGGGTCACACCCCAGCTCTACCCATCTCAAAACCTTCAGCCTTGTCTCCAGGCCCTGCCAACCACTGACCACAGACCAAACTCTTGCCAAGTGTCCCCTCAACAGGCGACGCATACATCATCACGGCCAGGAATGCTGCAGGCTGCCAGCCAGGCCTCTGCTTGCTCATGGGGACTCAAGCCTCTCTGTGTTTGTGTGTGTGTGTGTGTGTGTGTGTGTGTGTGAGAGAGAGAGAGAGAGAGAGAGAGAGAGAGAGAGAGAGAGAGAGAGCGAGAGAGCACATACATGGCAAGTTCAAGGAAAGGAGGCTGGAGTCAGTGGGGGTGAGATACTCTGCCCACAGCCACCATTTATCACTCCCTACCAATAAGGAGTAACAACACATACTGCTTCTAAACCCCCTCCCTTCCCCCTTCCCACTTGTCTACCTGCTGCCCTCCCCATATTTCAGGGGAGATGCTGGAGAAAAGAGGCTAGTCTTTCCCTCCAAATAATCAATAACAATATTAATCATCAATAATCAGCAACAATATTGACCATGAACTTTGTTGACATTGCTTCAGGACCACTTCTATGCATATCCTTTATTTACATGCACCAACTCATTTGTTCACTGCACACACCCATGATGGAAGTCTCTTTGACAGAAGGAAAAACTGAGGTTCAATAACTGGCATACTTTCACTCAAGTAGCAGAACTAGTAATTGGGGAAAGTGTCCCTAGAGAATCCATGTTCTCTGTGTAGCAGGCTTTCCTGCCCCTCCAGACATAAGGATCACTGGCCGCTGTGCACAAGACCATAAGAACCCAAACACAACCTAGGCAGCTGAAACAGACATAGACAGTCTTGTGATGGAGATTGGGCCCCACACTGTGGGGACAACCATGTTGTGTCTGCCCCTGCAGATTGTTGCGTGGCATGGCCCTTGCCCCCAGAGAGCCTTCAGGCAGCCAGGGCCTGGAAGTTCTCCCTACCCCCACCTTGCCTTCCTTTTAGCTCTATAGTGGCTTCCTACCCCTAGCTTGGAGTCACAGCAATATCTTCAGTGATGAGTGAGCAAACTGTGCTACATGTGGGGAGAGACAGAAGAAAGTAAGAAGGAAAAGAGGGAGGGAAGGAGAGAGGGCAGGAGGGACAGAAGGAGGAAAGAAGAAGGAGTTGGGGGGGGTGGTCTGGCAGGGAGCAGCTTCTTTGTCATGTCTACCCACCTGCCTGCTCACACACACAGACAGACACACACAGGCCAAAGAACCTGGAAGAGAGTAGAGGAGGAGGAAGAGGGAGAGAGAGGAGGCAGCTGCAGGAGGCTAAGCCTGCCCAGGGAGCAGGCTTTGGGAGGGGAGCACTGCCTGGCTCCCAGGCATGCCTTCCACAGCCAGCACACAAGGAAAGATCAACATAGCTTCGCACACAAATGCAACCACAATGATAAAAACAGACCCTATGCAGGAAACAGGTGGTGGTTCCCTTTTTCATGGGACAAATTGAATTGGGGAAGATGGGGATGGCTAGTGGACTGTCCAGGCTTGGGTACCCAAGTAGCCCTTGTGATGGAGAGGAGAGAGAGAGAGAGAGAGAGAGACTAATATAGTCAGAGAGAGAGAGCATGGCAGTGATGGAGAAGCTGAAATATGTGTGGGGAGACAAGACAAGTCCCAGCCCCCCATCCCTGGTGGAGGGATGCTGATTACTTACCTGAGCTTTCTCAGCAGGGCTGTCTTGGAATCCAGGGAGGGGGCTCAAGCTGTTTCATCCAGGATAATCACAGCTCAAGCCACATTGTGGGACCCTCAGTGATCCTAGGCCAGTACACTCCTGCTTCTGTTGCCGTGGATACAACTGGGCTGGTCTAAATCGCAGACACCAGGGGAATCAGGCACCGGAGGGGTGCACTGGGCAGGGCTGGGGGTGTTGGGGAATACCAGGTGGGCAGCACACAGCCTTGGGGTACCCAGCTAGGTGGTAGGTGGGGGTACCGGCAGGTGCTTCCCTCACTACACACTCCCATCCCCATCTTTATGCCACCGCCAAGCTGGGAGGGGGGGCCAAAGCTGGTCCCTGCTACCCGTCTGCCCGCCTGGCAGCCGGTCCCCCCCCCCCCCCCCCCCCCCCCCCCCCCGCCTGTTGGCCGCCGCCTTTTGTCCTCAGAAGACACAGTCCCCGCGGGGCCTCTGCCAAGCCTCTAGCAGATGCTCAGGGTCCAGGGGCTCCTCCCTGGGAACACTCGGGCCATGGCCTGGGAGAGCCCCAGGTTGGGGGGGGGGCTCTCATCCAGGCTTACTCCGCTCCCCAGGCCTGGCGAGGATGGGGAAGAGGTTTAGGTCCACAGCCAGAGGCAGCAGCAGAGGTGGTGTTGGGGAGGGGATGGACGCCAGAAAGAGGGGGTGGGGTGGAGAGAGAGGCTGGCCTGATAGCTGTGTCCGGGTTTTAGATCCGGGTTGAGGAGGGTGGCTCAGAGCATCCGAGGGGGGGAGGTCCTGATGAGAAATGAGGGCACCATGGGCCTGCCAGAGGGACCCTCCTGGCCTAGGAACCACCGCAGTTTACATAAACTCAGGTCTCAAGATGCCGGGGACACCCGTCCTGGATAGGGCATCCTCGGGGATCCCGGGACACTTAGCTGGACCCCATTCGGTCTGTCTGTCCCCCCTCTACTCGATTTGCACGGTCCCTGCCTCAGGGGCGGGTGGAGGAGGGAAGGAGGGAAAGGGAGGGAAGGAAGAAGGCTGTGCAGGCAGGGAGACTCCCAGCCGCCAGCCTGGTCCTTCCTGGGGCGGGGCGGGGAGTGGGGAGCTGGCGAGGCCAGGGAGCCGCGCCTGGCTGGCTGGCTGACTGGGTGGGGATGCTGGCGTGGCGGCAGTGATGCCCGGACAATAGCTGCCTGGGGAAGTCTGACTCCGGCATTTTTGAGATGCTTGAGAGAGACGCCTGGAGGTGGAAAGAGGCTGCTCGAAGAGCAACTCACACAGGCTACAAGTGTAGGGGAGGCTAGGGGTGAAGGGTAGTCTGGGCTGGGTATTGGGCTGAATGGTCCTGGGGAAGTTTCTCAAAAGCTTTGTGTTGGGAGAGATTCTTAGATTTGTAGAGCTAGTACAGACACCTCTTTTGGGATGAGGTTCAGTGAGCATTTGCTCAGGCAGTACTGGAGGTGGGCTGGGGTTGGGGTTGGGCCCTGGGCACTGCCCAGCCGCTTATACTCCAGACATGCGGGGACGCCTCTACTTTCTCTGGGCGGGTAGACAAGCACACACCCACACTTGAAGCCACATTCCAGGGCAGGTGGATGGGACTGGCGGTAGGCAGGGATTGGAAGGCAAGGGAAAAAAAATCTCTGTTCTGAATGGATTAGATTGGGACCAAATGATGCCATGCTGTTTCCCCATTTTATAGCGTTCACTAATTACAGTTCTTTGGATATAAGCAATTTTTATTTTATTTCCTTTCTTCCCTTATCCATCCATTGGTTTGTCCATTTCTTAAACATACCACTGGTGATACAGGTGAATCAGACTTGCTCCCTCCCCTTAGGAAACCCTTTCTGCTACCAAACTGTGCCCCCCACCCCAACTTGTGAAATGTGGACTCCTGGCCTAACTCCCAGAAATACTAATCTCGGAGGTTTGAGATGAAGGTACAAAACCTACATTTTGACAAGGCCCTCGGGTGGTTATCTTTATGCCCACTGAAATTCAGGCATCATGCTTTGGAGAGGGAGAAAAACCCACGAGTAAAAGATAAATTTACAAAGGAAATTAGAAAATATTTCGAACTGATTGATAGTAATAACAATATTGCATCTAAAATCCTGCAGGATACTGCTAAGGCTATTCTTAGAAATTTGTAGCCTTAATTTCATATATTATTTCAAATAAAGGTTGAAAATCCATCTCAAGAAGATAGAAAAAGGAAATTAAACTTAAGGTAGAAGGAAAGAAATAAGAGATAAAAACAAATCAATGAAAAAAACCAACAAATCAATGAATTACGAAGGAGAACCAGAACAGAGATGATCAACACAAATTTCAAAATATGGTTCTTTGAAAAAAACTAGAAAAATGATAAATCCTTGACACTGATCCTGAAAACATATATAGGCACAGGACTAGTATCAGGAACAAAAGGAGGTAACATATGTGGGAACAGAGACATTAAAAATATAATAAGGGCCTCCGCAGTGGTACAGCAGTTTTGCACTGGGCTGTGAAGCTGCCCACAGCCTCTGCAGCACCGGTTCGATCCCTGGCTGCCAGTGAGGGTCCCACATGGTGCTCAGACCTCTCCTGCTGAGCCTGCTGCTCCCCTCAGCAGTGTACTTCGTCAGTCTGCCTGTTCTGCTTCCAGCTCTGGCTCTGGTGAATTCTCTCATCCTCCCGTGCTTCTGCCTGTACCCAGTGCTTGTATAAATAAATACAAATAAATATATATAATAAGATGGTATTAAGAAGAACTTTATGCCAACATATTTGAAATTTTTAATAAAATGGAAAAATTCCTAGAAAAAATGCAGTCACTAAAGCTCACACAAGAAAGATCTTAATTTGAATAATTCTATAACTAGTAAAAAATAGACTTTATAATAAAAAGCTTTCCACAAAGAAATTTTAAGACCCAGATACTATCAATAGCAAATTCAACAAAATATTTAAGGAAAAAACCCAATTTCCTAATTCATACAAATTCTTCCAGGGAATTGAAGAAAGAGTATGCAGTCATTTCAATAGATATAAAAAACTATCATGAAAAAACTTTGCAAACTTTAGTTTGCTAAGAATATAAGGGAAATTCCTTAAATATATGCTACCTACAGCAAATACCATACCTAATGGTGAAATGGTGAATACTTTCTATCTCAGACTGGGACTAAGACAAGGATGCCCACTATAACCATTTTTATAAATTGTACTGGCAGTCCTGGCTTGAGCACTAGAGCAAGAAAAATAAATCAGAGACCTGAGGATTAGAAAGGAAGATGTAGACATACAACTGTATTAGTAGTCAAGAAAATATGAAATAAAACCACAGTCACTAGAACAACTAAAAAGAAAACCTTGAATGTTAATGAGAATGTGGAGCAACTGGTATTCTCATACAATGCTGATGAAAATATAAACTGACATAATCACCTTGGAAACTGCTTAGCAATATGTACTAAAAGTGACCATATGCACACTCCATAACCCAGCAATCCTATTCCTAGGTCTGTACCCCACAGAGATGCTTATACACGTTTGCCAAAAGGCATATGCAATAATGTTTATCAAAGCACTATAGATAACGGTACAATATGGGAACAACCCAAATGCCCTCAACAGAAGAATGATAAATTGTGGTATAATCACACAATTGAGTATTACACATCAGTGAGAATACCCCACAACTACCTACAATGATATGGATGAATTCTGCAAATGGCATGCTGAGTAGAAAAACACAGATGCAAAAGGGCACTTACTGTATGATTCCATTTTTATAAATTTTTATAACAGGTGAAACTAATCTATGGTAATAGACATTAGAATCCTGATTACCTTGGAGATCTGAGTAAGAGGCAGAAGGAGACTTTCTGGGGTGCTGGGGATGTTTTGTTTTTTTATTTCAGTGCTGACTACATGGGTGGTTACTTATTAACAGTTTGTTGAGAGTCTTGCATTTATGCTTTGTGTACTTTTCTTCAAGAGCTATGCTTCAATTAAAAAAAGTTTTTAAAGATGAAAACTTAAAAAAAGCAGTCAGATTATTTCATCATAATGGAAGGCAAGGATGGGAACTAGGAGCTGTGGGAGCTTAATATGTCAGGAGTGGGGATGAAAGAGCTGTTAATACCTAAGATAAGTGTGGAAGAGGTGGAAGTAAGCAGACTCTGGCTCCAGCTTGGATGGAATTGTGTCCATGCCTCTTATCCTCTGTGCTTCTCAAGTTCCTTGTTTGTTAAGTGGGGTAACTATGATGCTTATGGCATAGGGTTGAAATAATATTTGTAAATGTTCAAAACAATTTCAACCCATAAACTTAGTACCAAGTACATTTTTTTTCTCAAAGATTTATTTATTCATGTATACAAGAACTGGGCACCAGAGACAGAGTGGGGAGCAGAACAGGCAGACCAACTGAAATACATTGCTGAGGGGAGCAGCGGGAGAGACAGGAGAGGTCTGCCGTGCCATGTGGGATTCTCGCCAGCCAGCCAGGATCAAACTCGTGCAGCAGAGGCTGCAGACAGCTTCACAGCATGGCGCTCAACCACCTGCGCCACCAGGGAGGCCCTGTACCAAGTACATCGTAATTAAATTGAGAAATGTGTCTAGATGAGTGAAATAGCTGGTATAAAGACTTGGAGGGGATCCCCTAAGGCAAGGTGTGTTGGGACCAGTGGTGGAAGCAAGTTGTTGTGGCCTGAATGAGAGATGTATCTCTGGCACTGGAGAGACCCTGGATGTCAGGCTCAGTATCTTAGACTTTCTCTAGAAGACAAAGATATTGCCCTGGACTTCTGCTAACTTGGTTTTCCCTCAGTTAACCTCCAACCCATGTCTCTCTAAGGCCCTCAGGAGAAAGGATTGTTCAGGGAGGTTGTTGGAGATGATGAGAAACAGATGAGGAAGGAAGGGCTTGCTTAGGAAGATGTGAGAGGCTAGCTTTAGTCAAGGCCCTTACCCTACTGTAGGGTAAAGAAAATATCAGGCTTTTCTGCCCTTCCGCCATCAGGATATGATGGATCCTTGTCCTGAATGCATGCCTGATGGCGGGCACCTGGAATAGGGTGTGGGCATAGGTAGATGGGATTCAGCTGAGCTAAGACTGTGCTTTTAAGGGCGGCGTCACGGGGACACCAGCAGCAGCAGCAGCAGCAGCCCAAGCCGAAGCCGAAGCCGAAAGAGAAGCCGAGAAGCAGCAGAACGAACTCCAGAGAGCCCAGATAGAGTGAAGACTTGCTGGGGGCTGGGAGGTCTGCCAGCCTCCCAGCCCCCCAGCCAGCACCCCTGCCTGCCATATGCCTGGTGAACCCTAATAAAAAACCTGCAAAACCACTGAGGACTCTGACTCCTCCTTTACCCGGTCTGCATGGGATCAGAAAACCTGCACTG